TGGACGTGAATGTGACCAACGATGACATCAACCAATACGAGGAGGAGATGGACATCGACTACGCCAGTCCTCCCGAGGGAGGCCTCACACCTGTCACCAAATGCTGTCTTAAGAGACAGTGTTTCACGAAATTTGCGCCACAAGTGCAGGAGGACTGCTTCAACAGGTGTGACCACTGTTTGGCTACTTTTTACAAACTTCTTCAATGTTTGTCTCAAATGTCTGTCAGGTTTTGGTGCATAAGAAGCAAAACCAATCAGAACTACTTCCTCGCGGGTCTCATGAGCGCCGACGAGCCCAAGAGGACGGTCCAGAAGCCCGTCCGTCACAACAAGTCGGTCTCGTGGACCTACTTCGTGGACGTGAGGGGCAAGAAAGTCCAGGTTTGCCAGAACTTCCTGACCGCCGTCTACGGCATCTCCTCCTCCAAGATACAGACCATTCAACACAAACTGCTGAACGGCTCCTCACTGGACGACCTCAGGGGCCGCTTCTCGAAGCGCAAGAAGTCGGACCACGACTCACAGCACGTGACCGTCGATGTCGTCTCCTTCCAGACCACCGACAAGAAGGTCCGCAAAAAGAAAGTCAAATGAATTGCATGTCTTTCACTCTAATCTCGAAGTTTTGTTATAGTTTTGAAAAAACTTTCAAATTGTTGAATACGGACTAAGATTTATTAAAATCTCATTAATTCTGATATTCATTAAATAACTTATAATAAGCTTTTTAAACAATTTTTGTCAAATATCATTAAATCATACACTGTTTTGACGGTCACTTTAATTAATATAAATTGAAATTAAATGATCATTTAGAAAAGTGTTGTTTTTTATTTATAAAGTTTGTTTATATGTTATTTATTTACTAATCGTTAAATTATTTACAAAATTAGTCGACAATAAAGAGAGTGTGCAATGGATTTGAGTGCGAGAATTGAAAGCATTGTCCGTATTGAAGGTATAAAAGGGACTGTAATTTGAAATTCTGGTCATTAGTCGTTAGAAAAGTTGATAAAATTATTGACAAATTCTTTGCAAAATTCTGATTCAGTCATGAATTCAAGTGATATCGAAGTGAACTCAGAGTCCGGCGAAGAGCAGACGACATCTCCCCTGCGATCGGGCGGTGAAGTCCTGGAGGCGAGACATCGGCGCCGAAGCCGTTCGAGCG